GGCGGGAGCGCCGCCACGCTTCCCAAGCGGCACACTTATCCAGTGCGCCACCGGGCCGGCCCTGTTTTTCTCTTTTTCAAATTACAGTTAACTTTCTGAAGTTTGGAAAATGTAAAATTATAAAAAAGATGACAGAAGACATGGGTGGTTTAAGTACATCTTCCTAAAGAGAATATGGTGCTTTAAAAAGAATTCTTTGCCCTGGCATTCTGAAGTGCATGTTTCAGCAAGGGATGGAGGTCTGTTTTATGTAAAGTGAAATCTCTTCTTCCAGGATGAGAGTTCCTGAAGCCCTTCACAGATGGTCTACATATTTCCATAGAATTATCTCTATTCTGAATTTGTTTGTCATTTGACTCATCTACATGGGCATATTAGGACAAAATATCATCTTGACACACAGTGATTATCATTTAAAAAAAAATTCCGAGGACCGAGCCCGTGGCGCACTTGGGAGAGTGCGGCACTGGGAGTGCAGCGGCGCTCCCGCCGCGGGTTCGGATCCTATATAGGGATGACTGGTGCACTCACAGCGCTCACTGGCTGAGCGTGGTGCAGCCGGTCTTGAAAAGGACAAAAAAAAAAAAAAAAAAAAATTCCGAAAAGAGATCAAAGACTTTGACACAAAGCTTTAAATAGTGTATTATGTTATGCGCATGTTGAAAAACTATACAATTCTCCTGGAAAAAAAAAAAAATTTGCATAGTATCTTGTTAATCTGTCTGGATAGGCAGAGAAAATCTTTCTCCAAAATCCCGCAGAAGGTGTATGTTCAACTTTTAAAGAAACTGCCAAATCGTTGTGGAAAGTGGTTGTACTATCTTACATATACGCCAGCAGTGTATATGAATTCAAATCACTCGACTCCTTCACCAACACTTGGTGCTATGGTAGTTCAGTATGGTAGCCATTCTGTTAGGTGTGCAGTGGTATTTTATGGTGATTTTAATTTTCATCTCCCTAATGACTAATGATGTTGAGCATGTGCTTATTTGACATTTGTATATCTTCTGATTCAGTCGTTCCACTCTTTTTATTTCAGAAGAAATAAAAGCATGTGTCCATGTCAAGGCATGGAGCCTTGCTATGGACTGAATTGGATCTCCTCCAGCTGGCCAGTTAGTTCAGTTGGTTAGCACACAGCTTTATAACCCTGAGGTCACAGGTTCAGATCCCTGGATCTAGCCAGCTCCCCCCTCAAAAAAAACAGCATACAATGAATTGTCTTCTCACAATTAATATTTTGAAGCCCTAACCCAATTTGAATGATTTTTTTTTTTTTTTGGAGATAGGGTCTGTTAGGAGACAATTAAAGTTAAACGAGATTATAAAGGTGGGGCCCTGGTAACATAGGATTAGTGTCCTTGTAAGAATAGACTCCAGAGATCCCTATTGTTCATGCTCACTCTCGCACTCTGTGCACACACAAAGAAGAGGTCATGGGAATACACAGCAAGATGCTGGCTGCCTTTAAGCCAGAAAGAGGCCTCACCAGAAACCAATCATGCTGGCACTTGGACTTCCGGCCTCCAGAACGTGAGAAAGTAAATGCCTGTTGTTTAAGCCACCCAGTCTTTGGTATTTTGTTATGGCAGCTGAGCTGACTAATACACTCTGCATAGCATATTTATTTGTAATAGTACAAAATTGAAAACCACCCAAATCAATGGAAAAACAAATTGTGGTGTATACATACAATGGAATACTACTGAGCAATAAAAATGAACTATTTTTATACACAACAACATAGATAAATGTAA